GCTAGGATAGCTTGAAATAAGCATGAATGAGCTTATATTTTTAGAATTTCAAGTATAGCAAGCAAAGCATGTCATTCTCATCAATTAAGCCTAGTTCTGTTCAAATGAAGTGGATTGGAGAATTTAAAGCCTAATGAGCACAACAACAAAGCTTGACATGGATAGAGGTAAATGTATCGACTTTATGATATGATGTATGAGTTTGGATATATATATACATGCTTACTTTGATATGTACAAATATATGATTTTGTGCTAGAACGTATGAACACATTACACAAATTAATCACTAAGCCGTTTGGTAGATATTGTTCTAATATTTTTGAAAGCTTGGATTGATTAACTCACATTCATTGATATTCATGGCTAGCTTTTTATTGCTTTGATTAATAGTTTTCATTGCATGAATATTTGTTTAAAATGAATCTTTGAACATGGCTATGAGTTGAATATGTTGATTTCTTGATCTTTAAATTAATTTGACTCATAGATTATGAATTATAAATTTGAAATATATATACATGTTCATTGATTGAGATCATTGAGATGGCATGTACCAAATTGTGCCTAAATGCTTGCATATATTTTTAATTACATACATTGCTATGCATTTTGCATATGCTTGTATGATTTTGATTGAAATATATGATTCAATACATGTATATGTTTAGATTAAGTTCATTGCTATGCATTAAAATAAATAGGAATATATTTTAATAATTATGCTTTCATTATTTCTTTGCTATTGCTTATGTTCATCATGTTTGGAAAATGCTTGAATAATTTATGTTATGACACGATGATAATTGAACCTTATTGCTCATTAGTATTCATGCTTTATTAAATTCATATGAGCTTTTGGTTCATGTTTGGATAGGATAGCTTATGAAAGATCACTATTATCATTTATGCATGTATTGAATGAATCTTTTATATGCTTGAAGTATGTGTGCTCTATGAAAGTTGTTGAATAAAATTACTAACAATTGATATCAAAATTGCTAAAGATTTTTTTTTAACTTTCATGGACACTTGTTTATGTTCCTATCCTTGATATAGCTTATACCTTTCATGCAAAATTGTGTGCATTAAATTGATTAATCCTTATTTTGAAAAGGAGGAGAAATCCTAAAATATAATTTTACTTGATTTATTTTTTGATAACAATTGATATGTTTTGTGATAATATATCTTTAACAATTGATGTTCTTAACAATTGGTATGAGCTTGTATGCATGTGCTTGAATTTATGCTTAATTGCTATATTGCTATTGATGTTTGAGGTTCTAAACACATCTTATCCTAACATAATTTATAAGTAGATTGCATATCATTCATTATCCTTTGCTTATAAATTTTGTGTAGTGAATTTGATAACTTGTGCTAAAATGCTAAAATTGGATACACTTATACTTTTGTTCTTGAATACATGTATGTGAACTTCATTGTGGATATTATACTTGATTACATGCATTCAAAACACTCTTAACAATATTGGTATCAAGCTTTTTGTTCCATACCTTGAATTGATCTCCTTTTCTTTTGAAATGACAAAAATGGGGAGAGAGTTTAGAGATATTTCTTCTTGTGTGCTTATTGCAATTGATATAGGAGTTTAAACATTTGGTATAAAAAGCATAAACAAAAAGGAGGAGATATGTTTTATGAATATATTTGTCAATAATGCCTATTTGTGTTTATTTGCTCACAATTTGCTTATGCCTTTTTACTATAACAAAAAGAGGAAGAAATATCATATGGATAAATTTGCTTGTGCTTGACATGTATATGTTTTATTGTGCTTATTTCATATATTTGACCAACATATTAAGTTGTGTTAGATTAGGATGCATAAATTGAGGGGGAGTTTTACCGTGCATTGTTTAAGGGGGAGTTTTTTAAAATGTTTTTTTCAAATCTTAAATGTTTCAAAGAAAGTTTTTCATTAAGCAAATTTATCTTTAAGTTTTGTCATATCAAAAAGGGGGAGATTGTTAGTCTTGAATTGATCCTTATTTTGAAATAACAAAACATTAAGTTAAATAAGCTTGATCAAGATTTTGAAAAAAATTTATTTAGTACATAAGTTTTATATTTTGGTACTAAATAAATAATATGTTTTTCAAAGTGTAAACAAACCTTTCTTTGTTTTCATATTTCTCAAACCAAATTTATCTTTAAAGATTATTTACTTGAGCTTAAATGAAAGTTCAATTGTTGTTTTTAAAGTAAACTTATTTATTTTAAACTTAATACAATTTTAAATTATGACACAATTTAAAGGGTATTAATGTAATTTTAATGGGTTTTACTTTTCATTATAGTTATATATATATATATATATAATATCTGTGTTGTCCCAGGGTATTTTTTTATTTTGCTACCTCTATTAATAGTATATTTTTTATAAAATTAATCTAATTAAAAAAAAAAAGAATGAAAGATAAAAAAATCAAACATGAATGATATGTAGATACCCTAATTGGTCCCATCTTTTATAAATTTATCCAATAAAAAAATAAAATGTTAAAAACAAAAGGATAAAAAAAAGTTAAAAAAAATTAAAAATTAAAAATAAATAATTGGGCTCATCTTTTATAAATTTGTCCAATAAAAAATGTTAAAAACAAAAAGATTGAAAAAAGTTAAAATAATTAAAAATAATTAAAATAAAAAATTATTGAGAGAATGTGTCACATTGATACCTCATATTGAGTTTAAAATATTAATTTATTAAATTAAGATAAAAAATAATTTTATTAATACAATACATATATATAATTAAATAAATTATAAAATATAGTTTTTATATATACCTCTTAATAACTAAAATATATATATATATATTTTAAATATACTTTCGACCCAAAATCGTTTTTCTTTAAAAAACATTTAACTTGTCTCAAGGTACATAATTTAAAAATAAAATGATCAAATACCTATTTGATGCATCTAAAGGTAAAACATTATAAAAATATATAAATATTTTTAGAAAAATAAAAAGTAAATATAAAAAATATAAAAAAGACAAAGGAGATTAAAAGGAAGAAAACAGTTTAACACTTGACATACCTTTGATATCAATTAAACAAAAAATTTTAAATTTTTAAAAAATATTAATTAAATATAAAATAATAAATTAAAAAATATGTAACATACCCTTAATATAAATAGATCTCATACAAAATAAATTTAAAATCTAAAAAAAAAAGTAAAAAGGGAAAAAATTTTAAAAATTGGCATAAAATGGGCTCATTCAAAAAAATTAAATTTATAATAAATATTTATTAAATATAAAAAAAATTGACAAAAAAATAAGGAAAAATTAAAAGAAAAAAGCAAAGAAAGAACAAAAATGTGGCTTAAATTTTGGTCATGCACTGTTCTTCCGCACATGACAAGAATTAAAGTAACGGATATAAAAAGTTTTTGAAATAAAAAATATAAAAAATTAAACAGTAAAAAAACTTATCAAGAAAAAAAGTCCTACCATTAAGAAATATTGGGCCTTGTAAAAAATTATATTATAATATTATGTATTTATAAAATCAAAAAGTAAAAAAAAAATAATATTTTAAAAAAATCAAAAAGCCAAAAAAAAGAAAGTGGGCCCTACAAAAAGTATTGGCTTTCCACGTGAAAGTATTAGACTTAAGTTAATAATTTTACATATTTAGAAAAATTAAAAAACAACAAAAAATGTACCCACTTGAAAGTAATAAAATTAATTAAATAATTTACTTATAAAGAACAAAAAATCATAAAAAAAAAAAAGCAAAAACTGAGTAAAAAATGTATGTCCTAAAATATAATGGGCCCCATTTATAAGAAAAAAATAATAAAATCTGTAAAAAAAGTAAATAAAAACAAAAAATTAAAAAAGCGTTAACACGTGGCCAACAACACCTCCGTACGTCTACAGCATTTTTATGTTAAATATTTAAATTATTAAAAAGAGAAAAAAGAGCAAAAAATTTGGAAAAAAAAGGGTCCAACAAAAAAAGTAATAGCCGATACTTAAAAGTAATTAAATTAATTTAATAATATTATATATTTAAAAACTTTAAAAAAAAAGTATAAAATATAAAAAAAAACAAAAACAAAAACAAATACTCAAAAAATAAACCCTACGTAAAGAAAAGATCCCACCAAAATTTTTTTAAATAATAAATATATAAAAAGTTTTAAAAAGATAAAATATAAAAAATAAAATGATCAAAAAACTTATAAAAAAAGTTCCACCATTCAAAAAGAGGGGACCAAAAAAATAATTTTATAATATTATATATTTAAAAAATTTTAAAAAGAAAAATATCAAATATCAAAAAATAATTAAAAAACCAAAAAAAAAGTAGATCCCACCAAAAAAATGATGGACCCCACTTGAAAAAATAAAATTAATTAAAAATAATATATATAAATATTAAAAAATAAAAAGCAAAGAAAACAAAAAATAAATTATAACAAGTGCTACCTTATATCTGCAAAATTTATAGAGAAAATTTAGAATTTGAATGAAAAGGAATCCAAAAGAGCCCTAAACCAAATAAAACATTATTGTTGTAATATTATTTCAATAATAAATTTTTTAACTACATAAAATCATGTGCAACCCACTTGCATAATAGCCAGTTAAAAAAGCATAATAGCCGGTTAAAAGAAAATTTCATAAAGTATAACTAGAGGTAGAGGTGACAAAATGTACGGATGACCCGTAACACAATACGATTCAGTCCGCTATGAGTCGTGCCAGCATGCTTTATTTTATTATAATAATCGTGTCAAGTTAAGCCCGATCTTCTTAGTCATATCGTGCTAAATTGAGTATTTCAAAACTTATGGGCTAACACATCATGAGTCTATGATTAGTCAAAAGTCTACAATTTTTTTAAAATTAATGTAAAAAAATTTTAACAAAATTATTTGATAACCATAATCTAGTAAGGCACAATCCATATTATTATAGGGTCCAAATCCATATCATTATGGATTATGAACCGTGCTGAGCCGAAGGTTTTTTCATAAAATCCGTGCCTCACACAATCCAAATTTTTGTATTGTATCACCCCAGCCCATCATAATGCCATTCCAAACATAGGATTGTGACGTGCCGACCCATTTTGTCCATATTACCGCCTCTTAAAGTATAGATATATGCTGAAAATGAGGGTATAACTAAAAGCAAGAATCAGTATATTATTGAATGTCTTGCAAAGACAAACCATCTTAATCAAGATTATGATGATTAAATTCTTGATGAGTACGGCATGATCCCCAAGCCCAAGTAGCTAATTAGCCAACAATCTGGACTCTAGATTCACACCATACAAAATAGGCTTGACACTACGCATAAACTTGTTCATTTGCAGTACTTCTTGAACCACACACCAATATTGAGGAAGCTTTCGAAGTCGGATTGTGGCCTGCAGAGAAAAGAGTAAATATCAAATCTCAACATGACATCAAATTTTGGTTTTCGATGTTATCAAATTTAGCAAAATCACAAGTTTCTTCAGAGCATGTGTTTACCTCTCAATTCCATGAATGTCATGAGGAAACAGGATAACTTTGGTCTCAACTCCTCTCTCCTTTAATGCCCGTGCATACTACAAGTTTTCAAACAGCAATATCATATATGAGCATATCACCTCAACTTTCAGATCAGAAAAACAATGTGTGCTTGTGGGTGAGAGCAAATTCCAGAAAACTTCAACTTTGTCCCCCTTTGCTATTGTGTGTGAGTGTGATAATAGCTTAATAGAGTCAAGCTCCTCCAGCAGTGTGGATATCTAGTGTCCAAAACATAATAAATTTTATCATAGTTCATGCTATAGAAAGGAATGGTTATCTTACTTGCAATCCATTGGAAACTGGAACACGAAGATCCTGAGCACCTAAAAGAAACATGGTTGGAGCTTTAACCTGCAAAGACGAGAAAATGTCTTTACCCCGTGATACTATGCTTGCTAACTTGAGGAAAAGATTGTTCAGATAATACCCTTTTGAAAGGAAATCAATGGGAGTTCTAGAATACTATGCAGATTCTACTACAGCTTAAACAACCCTCACCCCCTTTATCTTCCCGCCAACATATACAGGAATTTCTTAATTCTTTAAATATTTATAAGCGTGCAGCAGTGCCTGAGCATGCCATGCTAATCAGTTGGGATTGGCACCAGCAGTAAAGGCATCACAGTAGAAAACTAGTCTTCGTTTAATGTACCTTTGAGATATGTGATATAGGAGACTTATTGTAAAAGTGAGTCAGGTGTTCAGCTGTAGGTGCTTCAGTAAATATACTTTTTCCATGACTTCCATAAGCTTCCACGTAACACCAATCAGGGATATCAGTTATACCAACCATGGATGAAAGATTACAAGCTGGATTCCTTGCAGCAGCTGCAACAAACTTATCTGGTGCCTGTAAAACGTAAGGAATCGGTCCCATTCTTAAGCCACGGCTCAATTGCAGAAAGACACATGTAACATCAAAAACCATAAATGGTCCCTGCTAAAGGACATCTGTGGGTCACTAAAACACGTTTACATTACTTCAAGATAAAACCCAACCTGGCCAATCAAGTGCGTGGTTAGAAATCCACCATGGGAACCACCAAGAACAGTTATTTTAGATGGGTTGGCAAGTCCTTTCTCAATGACATGATCTATAGCTGTGAGTACATCATTCACGTCCTGTGCATGAGTAAAGGAGAGAGGGCATATAATTTACACAAATATGATTTAATTACTTACGCCCAAGATAAGTTAATGATTCAAGCACATATAATAGAACTGATCAAGAACAAGCACCTGAGATCCCACTTTTCCAGGAAGAGATTGCAATGCTTCCTCACCAAATCCCAGTGAACCTCTGAAATAAATTAGAAAGTTAGATGAAGATGAAAGTTATGCCAGCCACTTGAAGTTGACAAAATCATAAAATCTGATTTTTAAAGGAAAATTCCTTAAGCATGTGAAAGCAAGCAGAGACCACAAAGGATCTGCAGATATATTTAGTGTCAGCAATAGAATGATGAGCTGTACTGAAAGAAATTGGCACAGCTCTCTCACCTTAATAAAATACTTTGTAAGGCACATATGATAGCAAAGCATTTTATAGAAGGAAAAGTTAAGCAGAATAGTGAAAATGAAATGGTAAGAAAGATAAGAGAGTTAACTTTAATTAAATACTCTAACATAAAGAAAAATGGATTCTATCTCAATTAAACTTTTTCTCAAAAGTAAAGTTATACTTTCACTCACCTATAATTTACAATTAATAAGCTGTAACCAATAGAAGAGAGAAATGCCAATGACTTTGAGAAGCTTGACAAGGAGACGGAATGTGGGCCCCCATGAAGCACCACTATTAGTGGATCAGGTGCATCATTTTTCTTGGAAGATACAAATATTGCCTCAAAAGGTTTAGCAGCTCCTGAATGAATTGGACAAATACAATCATCAAAACCTTTTCTTTTCACCACATTGGAAGTAATAAGATTAAGGTATCTGAAAATGAAAGAAGAGCTAAAATGTTTTTTTCCTTTAATCTGAAAGGAGATCAGTCTTTACAGTTGCAGTAGATCCAATATTAATCACAGGTCAATGAAACACCATAGCAAATAAAACATTTAGTTTAGCCTAGAAACTTTCACAAATATATGACTCCTTCTCTTGTGCACTTCTTACAAAACATTCTACTTTGTATTCCGATGTAAGTGCATTAATCAACGAAAACTGAGGGTTAATGTTGCAGACATATAATCATGTTCTATTCTTTTTCTTTATGGCTTTCAATGTGGTTGAAAGAGGTTTTGGGAGTCAGCTTGCAAGTTTTCATTAAAGTGTTTCCAGCAGTTGCCATCATCAGCTGAAGTATCTCATTTCACCATCACTATGATAAAATATGTTTTTATAGAAAAAAAAAAAAAAAACTTTTACTTTTAGATGTAGTTATTGGAGCATGTTAAGATACACAATTCAACGACATTGAGTCAAAATAGTTTGTGATACCTTTTGTTAGGCAATCCGAAACATCTTGCACTGGAATTTGCATAATACTAAACTGATGAGATGAAAGCAGAGACATAACCTACAGCATAGATGTAAATATTTAAAGAACAACACAGGAATAAAAGAAATGCAGATCAGATGAAAAACAAAAGAAAGCAAAATAAACCTTCTCAGAACATCTGAAAATGGGACTTGACACATTTAGCCATCGCCATCCAGTGCTATTAGATGCTTTTTCAAGACAACCATACTTGATTTGAGGAACATCTATAGGACTGCTACACACTGTGAAATGAAGAAACAAATAAAAATTTACTTTCTCTTTGTTTCAAAACTCGGGAGAGATCATTGGTTATGAAAAAAATTTATTTTACCGGCAATGACATTGTCCCCATCTAGTGTAAGAACATCCCACGAAAAATCTGAGTCAGCAGGGCTGATACGTAATACTTTACCACTGTAAGAAGATAATAACATCATCAGGTAATGAAGCAAGAATATAATAGTCTATGCACCTGATAAGGAGACATATAACCAATAGTCACCTTAACACATTTACAGAAAGTGTCACTTGACAGCTGTGCCAGTAGGAAGATAAAATCATAGTGCATCCATCGGAAAGCCATGGCTTACTGAGACGACTTGAACAGTAAAGCCCAGGCAAGTGACCATCCTCAGCACAGTTCACTATAGGAATCTGCAAAGATTTGACAGAATGAAAACAGATTAAGGAGTCATATGTGAACCTAAGCAAGTAGGGAAAAAAAATTAACGTATGGTTGCAGCATGTAAGTATTGCCATTGATAAAAAAAATCACCATAATGACCCAATTTAGTTTTGTTATATTCTGAAACAATACAAATAAGGCAAAATCAAGTCCAGCCAAAATGAAAACATTGAGGAAAGAAGAGCACCCACTAGAGTGAATGGGCTGGGTATTGGATGGGTTTTTCTCTCCCTCTTTTTATTGGTTGGGGGGGGGGTGGAGAATGAACCCAAATAAATCTCATAATCTGCATGCTCTAAAGTGAACTTATCACATTCAACTGAAGCAGAGAACAAATGGAGAGCTTACCACATCCATGATTTTTGTAGATGAGCATAGCTTGCCATCAGTTGGCCAATCAATTCGGTAAAGAGAATCAGTTGCAGAGTGTGCCCCAGAATCCACAGAGGCTTTTGCAGACAGAAACACAAGGAACTTTCCATCTGGACTGAGGGAAAAGAAACATAATTCACATATAATCAGCACGCTCAAAGAGGTAGCTTGTATGTAAAGGAAGGCTTTTTTAACAATTTATGCAGCTGCATAGAAATTAATTAAGCAACATTAAATGAATGTAACAGAAACATTGATATTTGGTAGCAGGTGGAAGAATTTCAAGTTAAATTAGGCAATTTTGCACAGCCATTCAAAGGTTTCCAATCAACAATTAACACAGTATTCTCTGCAGAGAAGCAACAGCCAAAAAAATTAAACCACGAAACAAGTACTCCACATTTAACATAGCCTCATTTGAACCATAACAAGAATAAATGGAACCCAAAAGAGAACAAGATGGGGAGAGTACTCTTTATTCCTCACTTGCCTAGAACAAGGGAACAAAATTTATATACTGTTACACAGCTACCCAAGCAATTGGGAAAAGGGAAATTGAAAGTTTAATGTCAATGAACCATTTACAAAACTCATGGTTTACATAAAGAAATTGATTTGAATTTAACCAAAGCAATTAGGAGAAGAAATATTGAAATTTTAATGTAAATGAACTATTTACCAAACTCAATTTTTGCAGTAAAGATGATTTAAACTTAATAAACACAACAAAGATATGACAAAGCTCGATGGACCTAAACAGTGTAGGGAAATGAAGTTTTCTAACTATGCTAAAGAGCAGAGTAAACGTGAATACAATAACAATATACCAAGTCTTTTCCCACTGCAGTGTCAGCTAAGAGTAGACATAAATGTTCTTTGAAAATTATTACACGACTTCAAAAAGGCACTCTGCTCATGCTATCATGTACAAAATTTAAAAAGTGGGGGGAATTCAGAAATAAGAATAAGAAAGATCATACTGACACGGGAGTCTCCAATGTTCATAATTCAAATTAAGTTGCAAACGAGTTTCAAATCCTGACTCTAATCTGTTGAGCAGCAGAGCACAAGAGCTAATTTGGAAAATTATTCTGTATTAATTGAGAATGAGTCAGGCTTGCCATACATGGTTGGGAAGCTCTGTCTCTTAACATCCATACTAACAGTTATGCCTAAAATATAACAGATAGGTTCTCTGGTCAACCTATTCGGGATTTGTCTAATTCCATTATGTTCCCTTGATTTAAGGCTACAATGATGGCTTAGATATTTGTTTTAATAATTTATTTTCATAGTATCCTATAATTGGAGTGTTGTACCGGGCTTTAGTATTTATTATGAGTCTTTGGTAGAATGAGAAATCAACTCTGATTTGCTTATTGGCAGAATTATAGTATCTTTGAGATTGTATTCCCTAAAATCTGGATCTCTTTGGTGGATTTCCATTGAGTGGTGAGTTGTTTGGTTTTTTCTTGGCCAATGAGTTCTTTGGTTTTGTATCCTTGATTTATATCCTTTGGGTGAAGATATTTTTTGCCCCTTGGTGATTTAATCTTGGTGGTGAGCAATCTACCTATCTTAACCTAATTTATGTTGGGTGTTGGTTTATGTATTTTCTTCATCTTTTGGTTAACAATTCCCATTAGTGAGCCGTCCTTGTTTGTTTCTCCTTGTCCAGCATCACACACACGTCAGGCACAAGCACAAAAGCGAAGGTAAGAGTTAAATAGCGTACCTGAATCGTGGAAAGAATGCACTACTTATGCTTTGTGTTAAGTTGACTAGAGTCAATTCTTCCATTGATCTGTCTCCAGAAAATTATGTATCATGATTATAGGTAGGACAGTGAAGTTCCAACATGAAAATACATGAATGAAGAACATTTTGAGAAACCAAAAGCCATTTAATGATGAAAGTAACCCACTTGAGATCAGACTCAGCAGCTTCTGATTTATAAGGTGGCACCTTCACCGCATATAGCGCACAGGGTCTATTATAGCAGTATTTTATACCAAGCTTTCTCGGATCTGCTGACCACCCCACAAAAACCAAATATTGATCTGTGCCTTCCACTGGTGGAGCCCAAACCACCTGGCCTACACTCAAAGACTCCACAATTCCTTTAACAGCATGTACCTTGCCACTATGATAAGCAAGGAGGTTAAGTTAGGGTTCTTCCACTGCATCAAAGATCTCTACTATGCTATAGCATTGAAAAGAAAATTATAAATGAAACCTGTTTAGATTGATTACAAACAATGCAGGCTGCCTTTTTCCTGCATAGCATTCCCCCCATTCCTCCTCCCAATCCCCTTGACCTTTCCAGCTACTACATTCCTTATCTTTTGTAGCACCTTTTTTGTAACCCTGATAGTCAAAAGAAGGCTTGCAGGGAGATGGCTCCTCAGCAACATAAGCAATAAGAGATTCATCAGAGTTCCAAGAGATTCCCTCAAACCTATACCATCAAGAAAGATTTCAACTTTTCTAAGTTTGCAGGGATGACTGCCGCCGGTCAAATTACAGATAATAATCCTACAGCTGCTGCAAATCCTATTATAACCAGCAGCAAAGTTCTTACAACCAGTTCTAGAGATTCTACCACATTTATGACTATGTTACTTAAATATCATTTACTTCTGGATCTATGACTAGGTTAACATGGTAGTGCCAAAAGTTTTCATCGGACAGAAAATCGAAAGATTCATTAAATCACTTACCATCCATCAGCATACACTGAGCCATGAACAGACTGGGGAATCTGGAACTCCTTCTCCAACTGAGATGGACTCCATATTTCAAATTGCGAGGGAGATTCATTTTCAGGATTTCGAATCAAAAGAAGCTTTGAACCTGATGGTGAGGGAACAATTAAGGACACTCCAGTCATCTCAACAGGAAATGGGGCCCATTGGAAGTTTACATTATTATTACTTTCCTTTGAAATACTAGTGGACAGCATATATTTTCGTTTCTTGTTTGCCAAAAGATTTGGTTGGCTAATTGAAAACATTGCCTGGGAGACTATTCCTGCAGCAACAGTTTCGTAAACAGCATTGGGATCAGTAATAGCTTTTTCGTTTCAAGTAAAAACGAAGAGGGATAAGAAAGAGAGAGATAAAGAAACTTTAGCCATCCTACCATTGTCAGACTTAAAAGTCCATGCCTTGTCAATGCTAGAGATACTAGTAAACTCTTGAAGTAATTTAGACTGGGAAGCATATTCTTCTTCGCTAGCTTCATCTAGCCCCACTGGCAATTCATTCACTGGACCAGCTTTAGTAGAATCCATGGCCAAAATAGCTGACAGTTTTTTGCTACATGTCAGATGGAAAAGAAAATAAATACGGAAAGATCTAACAGCAAACTAGGAAGAAACATTGGAAATAGGACCGTACTTTACATATTAAAGCAAAAAAAATTTGAATAGATACAACCCATCATAAAGGAAACACCCCGTTACCTCATGAACAATAATATTTGGCACTCTTATAACATCAAGAAGCACCAGTTATATTCAACTCCACCATCTTATCCCAAAAAGAAAAATAGGATATAATGATAAATTTGAAATTTATCAATCATCAGAAAGCACAGCATACAAAATAATATCCAAAATATCATTGCATCACAATGATAAATGCAATGGAGAAAATAAAGCAAAAGATGCAATGGCTATTGGAGAATCCTGGAAAGCATATAGCATGAGAAAAATAACAGATGTGAAACACATATACCTACTGATATGATTAAATTTCAATTTTGAGTAATCTTAATCCACTAGAGGCTGTTGACTCAAGCCAACAGTAGATAACCCGCCATACTTCCACCGTTCCACACTGCGTATTTTCCCGTTCCCTTTCTTTCCCACTAAGATATTGCCTCAAGTGCTTATCTACTTGACTCCAAATTAAAATCACAAACAACTCTCAAGTGCTATGGTGGTATTTGGGTTGAAATTCCAGGTTCATAAAAAACAACCGAGTTTAGGAAACAGGCATAGATTAGTAGACCTGAAATGATTTCAATTCAATTGAAAAGCAACAAAGAAAAATTCCTGACACTCTGCATGGAACAAGTTGCATTTTAGCAAACATTCATTGCAGTAAATTTGAATTATACTACCTCTCAATTGCACAGGTCTTCCAGACTTGAAACAATAGAGTTTTTAAGCAAAAATGAAATCCCAAAGTCAATCTTTTAAGATATTTCCGCTGATTACCCATTCTAAAGATGCTATAACTATTCTATCAATCAAGAAATGATAAAAAGAGAAACCGATCAACAACTTTTTAGTGTCGAACAGTAACAGCTGATAACAAAAACTGAAATTTATATTGGACAGTTCAATCCAACCAATATGAAACAAGCAACAAAAAAAAAAGATACCCATCAAGCAGTTTACCAGCAAAACAACAAAAACTACTTCTTTTCCCTGAGATAGACGATGAAAATGGAGAGAGAGAGAGAGAGAGAGAGAGAGAGAGAGAGAAAGAGAGAGAGAACTCACATGTAGTGAGAAATGGGAGTGAAGTGGAAGAGTGAACAACGAGGTTGAGGAGAGAAAAATGGAGGAGAAGCTGCTAAGGTTACTGACAAATTAGAGATGGGGCTGACCCTGCTGAAGGATGGTAATGCTAATGCCAAATTCCTCATTTGAAGATTCCAACTCTAACATTTTTAAGCTATGATGTTTTTTTTTTTTTTAAAAGCAAGTAATGGATTCCCCCCAGAAAATATCCAACGCAAGGGACCAACTTTGTAAATTGAAATACGACTCCACTCCATTACGATTTTAACAAGGGAGCTTCAGCTTCTAAATTTATCACTGTTTTTCCTTTTACATTCTCTTTTTTTTTTTTTTCAAAATATTTTTGTAAGTAGATTTTCGGTAAATTATAAAACTTAAGAAAAATTTATTTTCATAAAAAAAAGTTTAAACTTTTTTAAAATTTTATAAAAAAAAGCTTTTTATTAAAAACTATTATTAATTGATGTAATGAAAGAATTATTATTAAAAAATAAATTTTAAATTAATAAAAAATCATTTTTATTATTTTAATCTTTAAAAAATAGAATTTTATGAAATCTTAATTAAATATTTTAGTCTTTTAATATTGTGATAGATGATGAAATAACTACTAAACTTGATCAACATCAAAAAGTTAAAATTTTTTGAAGTTATATAAATAATATTATTAAATATTATATAATTTTGTCATAATTAAATATGTTAACCAAATAAATTTATTGTGATAAGTAGAAAAATTTTTTCAAAAAGTTAAATTTAATTAAGATATTTATAAAATTTTAATAATTCATATCAAAAAATACTAATTAAAAATAAATTTAAATAAAAAATTTATATTTATTATTTTATCCTTAGTTTATTTAAGATCTTATAAAATTTTATTTTTTCTTTAAGATCAAAATAATAAAATTAATTTTATTATTAATTTAAAAACTTGTTATTTATTTTTCAATAATAATTTTTTTATTATACCAATTAATAAAATTTCTAATAAATTATCTTTTTACAATTTTTTTAAAAATTTTACTTTCTAACTTTCCACAAATCAATTTTAGGAAAGTTAAATCTATTTCCATAAGTTATATAATTTTGGAAAATTCTTTTTCATAAGTTCCAAAAAATTATATAATTTATGAAATATGAATATTCAAAAATTTATAAAAAAAATATATTAAATAATTTTATTTAAGAAGAAATTTAAAAAAAAAATTATGAAGAGAAACGGAAATGCATGTAGAAGCTCCCTTCTAACAAATATGGTTAAAAATATGTTTGTTTGTTATGAAAATATTTATAGTAATCAATCAAAATCTGTTGGGGTCCTTGCCTAGTTGCCTTTTCCTACCATCCCTCTTATGCTTTTGGCCATTTAAAATTAGGGTTGGCAGCTTAATTTAATCTTGATAAGTTTTAACACTCCGATGTAGATTTATTTTTTAAATTAAATTTTGAGTTAAATAATATTAAAAAAAATTAAAATAGGATCAGATTCGAATTTTAAGTAATTCAATTTAGTATTATATAAAAAATATTTTTTAAATTAATTATTTAATTTTTTATTTATATAATTATATAATTATATTTAAAAAATAATATTTTATATTAAAAATAATAATTTATTAATTTCGAATTAAATTAAATCAAATCAAATGTAATTCAAATAATATCAAATCAAATTAGAATATAAAAAATAAAAAAAATTTAAATTTAAATTTTATAATTATTAAATTAAATTAAATTTAAAACAAACAAAAACTCAGTCCGAATTCAACCTCGAATAGTTACCAACCCTATTTAAAACAACATACTAATCTCTTTGTCAACAGCCCGCGTGGGTTGTTACGTGGATTGTTGAACAAGACAACCTCAAATATAAAAATATATTTATTATACATTTGTATATAATGATCTCTGTCTTTTTAACATTCGAAATTGATATATCATGTTGCCAAACGCAGGCTACAGCACATCCTGTCAAGACTAGGCACATCTTGTATGGCATACGGGTACGATGTGAAAAATAATATAAAAATATATAAAAATTATATAATTTAAAATTTTATATCATATTTAATTTTATATAAAAAATATAAAGTAAATATATAAATTATTATTATTTTATGTTATATAAATATAGGAATTATCAGATACTCTGCTATGACCTCTCTCGTGCTAAATTGCCAGTTCCTCTAATGGCCCTGCCGGAGTTCCACCTCTCAGTTTGGGCCTTTACACGACCCAAAAAGTGGATAACGCGCAAAGCGTTCTAAATCGTTTATATAACGCCAAATAAACCAACGAAAAGTTTCAGTTGCTCGCTGATAGGATAAGTGTGAAAACCTCAACCAAAATGCACCACGTATCGCAACTAGGATTCCCATGTAAAACGTGGCTCAATGTAATTGGTCATTCCTGTAATGTGCACACCAAGAAGTCGCTTACAAAGTTCAATCCGTTAAAACGAAAGAAGGTGGGCGTTACTAATGAAGAAGATAGAAAAATGGCAATCCATGTATCACGTCATGAGCAAGCGCACTAGGTGTATAGGCTCGAGCACTAGAAGCAAAGGCTCGAGCATCAAAGGTAGTTACGGGAATTGGTGCAATGAGCATGGAAAAAATGTCTAGACCATTCGCACAGAACGTAGGTTTGCTCGCACAGACTAAGACCAGGCTCCCAACGTGCCCACAATGCACCTAGGTGGACCCATAAAAGCTTGACTAAACCAAAATCTTTCAGAGGCATCCAAAATTCGTAGCATTCAGTAAGAAAATTTGATTGACCGTAAATATTAAGATAAGCCTCGTGCAATTTATATAATAATGTGTAATCTTTGAATTTTAAGAATCTTATAAATCATTTTATTTTAGGAGATAGTCATAAGTAGAGTTGGGGCCTCAATTATAAATATAAGATCACCGCACCCTCAATTGTACATCATTATCAGACCCTATTCTTCAGTTATACACTATATATTTCAACATTCTTTGTGTTCTCTCTAACTTGCATAATTTACCTTCCTAGTTGTTTGTTTGCCTATACGCTTGGTTTTTAGGTTGATTTAGACCTAAGAAACACATCATTGGTCTAAGGTAGTACGGATTTTGAGCCGAGGCTGAAGCCTGTGACAGTTGATATCAGAGCAGGCCTTGGACAATTCGACCCACGTCAAGCGCCTCAAAAGAGGTAGGAAAGGTGGTCAACCTTCATGATGAGGGTGTCATGAGGTTGAGTATGGGAGAATGTAATGCCAAACGCTTCAAGGGAGAGTAAGCAGGGTATTTCAATCCCATATCGAACATGAAATAGGGTCATTAAGGTATAAAATGGTTTACACTACCCTCTTCTTATGAGACGCCTTTTGTAGGATAAAATCGTAAGATCAGATAGGTCAGAACGAATAATACTCATAAAAGTATGGACCTTAAGCTGATTTAGAAAGTCAGATGAGTGCATGCCCAAATCCTAAAGTTGTGTAAGGCTAGAGGTTGAGTCTTGACCAGTGACAAGAATGTCATGTCAAGTGCTATGTCAAGTGCTCCAAGGGCGAGTAGGTAAGATACTTCAATCCCACAGCGAACATAAAAGATGGATGACTGGGGTATAAAAGGGTTCATATTACCTTCTTCTTGTGAGGTACTTTTGTAGGATAAAATCATGAGATCAAAGAAGTCAGAACAAATAATACCTCATAAATGTGTGGACCTTATGCTGATTTAGGATGTCGGATGAGTGCATGCTTGGGTCCTAGAGTCACGTAAGCCTAAAGGTTGAGTCTCAGCCCGTGACAAGTGGCACAAATTTTATGCAGGTTCTATTCGATGGTATTCAGATTGCACTCTAGGCATTCATAAAAATGACATTTTAAAGTGATGTTGCTAGCCAACAACCAGAGACCCAGGAGCAAGGTCACAAAAGAGGCAAGAAAGCCAATTCGAGGGACATCTAGTCTACTTTAAAAAGGCATATGGCCAAGGTGGAAAGGACCATGGGTGATGTAAAGAAAAAGCTTGATGAGGTAGATGCTCACTTTAACGCGTTGGATTCCATGAAGAAAGAGCTTAAAGGAAAATTGCAAGCTACTCTGAATAAGGGCATCGACATGATCACCTAACGAAATGCAACCTTGGAGGCCCAAATGAAAACCATGCGTAAAAAAAAGGAGGAGCTCGCTACTTGCAAGACTGTCATTAAGAATTGTGTGTTCGCTAAAATGTCTAAGACCTGTATAGAGATTCCCAAGCCCAAGGAGTTCAAGGAAACTAAGGCGATCAAAGAAGTAGACAACTATCTATAGGAGATGGAGCAGTACTTTTAGGTTACGGCATGCATGATGATGCTTTTATCGAGCGTAATAATGTGAATTGGGCTTTAATGAGTTTTAATAGACAATGCCAAGCAATTTTGCTTTCTCGTTTTGAGAAGTGCATTGTTAGAATTGGGTTGGACCACCAATTTGCTCTAGATTCAGGGGTTCTCACTATAGTCGATCAAGAGGGAAAGATCATTTCTATCGATACTGACAAGATGATTTTGTTAGGTAATGGGGATACTCTAAGCATTCCATTAGTTATGTGTCAATATTCCAACACAAATACTTGTATGCATCAAACTTAAGGTAAGCACCGCTTTAATGTATCTTACTAATGTTGCCTTATTATGGTGTAGATGTAGGTGTGATGATGTGAGACACGAAGACATCATGATTAGAACTTGGAAGGAGTTTCAAAAAAAATTCAGAGAGTAATTTTACTCAAAGTACGTTAATGACGAGAAAACGGGTGAAGTTACACCAACTTACTCAGTAAGGGACATAAAAGAGTATGTCCAAAAGTTTTTTAAATTAATGCTTCAGATTTTAGATCTGAATGAGACCAAGGGTTTATTTGCCTTCATAGATAAGCTCAAGTCATGGGTGAAGCACGAGCTACAAAAGAGAAAAGTTCATGAGTTGGCCAAGGCCATGACCACCGTTGAGTTCTTGGTAGTGCTCAAGTCACAAAATAAGTCAGAGTCTATCAAGCCTAAGAGGAAGGACAAGGACAAGAGAGACCTAAAAAAATAGTTTAATGGAAAAAATCATGATCAACAATCCAAGGATAAAGATCGAGATCGTTTAAACAAGGGTATCCAAGGTAAACCATCAGTAAGAAAATGAAAGATTAAGGATAACCGAAAGTCGGTC